GTCATAGATGATATGTCAACAAATGAGGCTGTCTGTGTTCCAATAAAATTTTATTTATAAAAATAACATTCTGGCTTTGGCCCATGAGCCATAGGTTGCACACCTCTACATAACATTGAAGTTAGAAAAACTACTATGTCTAATAAACTAAGTTTCACTTTTTTCTCAAGTTTTGAGATAGAAAAAATTAAAATGTATAATATAAAACTTACTTTGGGGTCAGCATTATCAAAAAACATTATTCAGAAATCGTTATGATTGAAAGATGTTGGACTGGAAAAGCAAGGCATGGAAAGCTGCATGCGGATAGACAGAAGAGAGAGGGAGGTTGAATGAAATTCTCTAAAAGGAAAAGCATAGAATTTCTATACTAAATTTGTACCTTAGGCAAGAGGCCTAGAATCCTGAAAACGAGGAATCATTACTTGTAAATATACAAACAGGAACTAATTTAGATTCTTAAACAAAGTAGATTCTGCAAAAATCTTTTCAGCTGTATGAGATCATCCTTCACCGAAAACGTTCCAGAATTTTCTTCCCAGTCCTGTTCCTGGCTTAATTTTCAACTCCAGAACTGAAAGAGAAGCCTAGTTAGCAGTTTTCACTGGTTCATTCATAATTCATGCAGGAAATATCATTTGAGCACCTACAGTGTCAGCCACTGAGATGAGTTTTCTTTGGTAGTGTTAAAAGGGTTAGAGAACAAACAGCAAATAAGATGGTTGTATGGGTTCTGATAAATTATTCCCCTTATTTAACACATGAAGTATGGATAAAAAGCAGGTATGCAGTTTCTTAAGATAAAGTCATATTTGGTTACAATATAGAGGAGAGTGAAGACTATAGAACGTCAAATTCAAAATGAAAAAGGGAACAGAAGATGTTGAGTACTTTATTCAGGTACATAATGAATTTATATTTGTGTGTGCATATATATATATATATATATATATAATTCAGAACTCATAAGGTTAAGCCTTATCCCCATTATCCCCATTTCTTAGTTAAGGAAATGGAAATTAAGTAACTTACCTGAGATCTTACAGCTATCAAATGGAAGGACAAGATTTGAACTATGCCCTAACTCACCCCAAAAGTGTATGTTTTTTTTTCATTTTGCATTGACATATTTTAGATCTACAAGTAAAATAGAAAAACAGAAAAAAACTGAAGATGGACTATTACAGTAAATAAAACATTGAAATTAACCAGCAAAAAATAGGAGGAACATACAAACTTTGAACTAATAAAAATAGAAATTTCCAGAACTGAAAACACCCAAGACTGTAAATAAAGGGTCCCCAAACTTCTGTGCAAAATTAGCACAACTGAAAGGCAAGAAACATTCTAGCTAAAATGTTTAGCTACAAAGATTTTTTTTTAATCTGTAAATTAGGAAGAATAGTAACATTAATTCCAAGGGTGTAAAATCAGTTTGCCTTTAGATGTTTTTCTGATAGTAGCAGAAAACAGTGCAACAAGCAGTTCTGTCAGGAATAAGAGCTGTGAAAAAAATAATTTCAAGTTGTCATTCATGTATATTGGCAGCAGAAAAACAATCTTAAGAAAATTTGTATTTTTCCTACTCAGTAGATTTCTACAGATTATATACTTTGAAACTTTAGGTATTGAATTTTTATCTTTGCCTTTCTTTCTGGCCTCTTGTCACCTTTTTTCTTTCCTTTCTTCTCTCTTCCCTCCCTCCCTTCCAACTGTGGAGCCATGAATTAGAATCTTGTAAGTGAAGCTACTTTTTGATCATGTGAGTCTTTTTTCCAAATTGACATACTACCATAATGTTTTAAATGGATTTTCTTAATTTTGATAGTCTGTCTTTATATAAACACATGCATTTTGTTATTAACATTTTAATTTTTACCACGATTACGCTTTTAAAAAATACTATTTTGTTAAAAAATGTCTAAGTGTAATTAATCGCTTCTAAGTCTTCCAAAGAAGAAAAATTGTGTGTATTTAATAAGTAAATCAGCTGAAAACTAAAACTAAAATTTATATAATTTGAATGACTGAAGTAGTCGTTTTTGAAAGAAAATAATGCCTTGGAAAGAAGGTTCCAAGTGTATGTATAGGTGGGATAACAATACATAACAAACGTATTGTTGGTCATTATTTAAAATGAGTTCATATTCATAGCTTATAAGTTTGATGCATTTGGGAGGATGACATCAGCAAGAGAAAGTTTGCATTTAGTGCCATGTTAACGTTTCAGGAAATATGTCAAGTAAGAGCAGTTGATTTTCTACTTTCATCCTTTCAGACCTGCTTTCTTTCTGTTGTGCCATCTCTCAGTTTTTCTGTATTTAAAGTTCCAGATAAAGTATTAATGTATTGTCACCTTTCTTGTTTGCTTTGCCCCCTCAGTGGTAGATTTACATATAAACCCATTGCTGTGTTGTAATTTATAATTGTGGTATTGACACACTGATGTCACCAGTACAGTAATATGTGATTCTTTTTTGCAAAGTTGTATCCTAAATAAGGACTTTTAATCTGGGGGATTGGGTAGGGAGGAGGACAGAGAGAGAGTGTTGGGAAAGAACGGATGGTGGATGGTATTATAGCATTCATCTCAAATGGATCTGTCATTTTTAAAATATTGAATACTGCAGTCTTAAGGAATTCTGAATTCTCAGTGAGGAAGGGTAATAAGTTAGTAGCTGAAATTATTGGGGACGTTGACTCAACTATATAGAATTTTGTAAATTTAATAGTTTTGCTCCTTTCCACTGTCATGTATTCAATATTTAATTTACATGCTGTGGTATAAAGTGGTTACACATATGCTGATTTAGTCTACTATTTGTTAGGTAGCTTGTGGGACACTGATCTCTTGTGACAGTACAGTATGTACTTCTGCCTTAGAACTCAGTGGCAGCAATGTGTACCTATCTTAGAAAGCAAAGGAAGAGTATTGTTTCTTTTCACCTGACAAAAGGCCTAAAAAACACTCTCTGTAGAAGTCACATGGCCATTTCATTTAGAAATAGCATAAAGAGTACTCTCATTGTAGTGTTTATTATTCAAATAAACTTAATGCTCTGTAATAGAGGCCTGTAAGAAGTACTAATCTAGTGAATAACCCCCACCACGCCACATAATGGAGGAGCATGTAAAAGATTTTGCTTTTGAAGAGAAAGTCTGGAACTATTAAAAAGATATCACATATTTGTTAATACGTTTTATGTTTCATATTAAAAACCAGTTAGGAGAATAGGGGAGAAAAAATTGAAAAAAGCTGGGAAAAATATAATGAACAGTGACAGTCTTTTAAAATCCGTGTAATTTCATATTGATTTAACTAACCACCTCCAGATTGGTTTTTCACAGATTTGGTTCTGTCCATAAGTAGTATTCTTGCCATTAACAGAATAATTAACCTTTATTTTCAAAATGGTCTGTAATTCTAGTATTGCGTCTTTGCTCCATTGGTAATTTAGGAGATTTAGTATTGGTTTGGTTGTATGTGTTTTGTGTGTTATTTTTGTTCATTCTTTGAGTTATTTTCTTATGTTTACTTTGTGCTAAAGCTTTTGGTATTAATTTTGCTTTATTACACTAGGATTAAATAATGGGTTCTGTAAGGTTTTAAGACTTTGGAATATTGAAGTTTTTCTTTGTTCTATTACAGTAATATTTTGCTAATATTCAGTGAAATAGTAAGGTACAATTTCCATAGAGTAAAAAGTTTGATATACATTAATTCAATCTCATTAATTATTAATTATGCCTGCTATGTCCTTACCTGCCAGAGACTGAGATGATTATGATAGTCTCTCTGTACAGTGCTATTTTTATCAATTGTTTTCTTACCATTCTTCAGATTATACATTTTTAATGTATACATTATTAAATGTAGACTAGCTTATACATTTTTTAATGTAAAATGAACATCTTTCCCACTTACTTTTTTTGCTTTGAATTCTGCTTTATCATGTACTAATATTATTGTTCTTAGCTTTTTAGATTTATGTGCCTATTATATTTTTGACCATTTAAAAATATTTTACATTTTCATATTTTGCTTTTGAGTATCTCTCAGTAGCAGCTTCTGGTTGGAAATTTGTTTACTGTTCTTTTTGTTGTTTAACAAAATTCAGAATTCTTCTTTATCTTTAAATTTGACATTAAGAGCCTAGCACATTGAACCTGTAGTACCAGCTACTGGGGAGGCTGGGGCAGGAGGATTGCTTGAACCCAGCAGTTCAAATCCAGCCTGGACAAGGTAGTGAGATGCTGTCTCAAAAAAAAGGGGGTGTGGGAGTATATATTTCATACTCTCTCCAAACATCTGATAGTTTATCTCTGTAGTCCTTTGGATTTCAGTGCTCTAGGGAAGCCACAAATAAGAGACCAGCCTAATTTAATTTTTTTTTGGTGCTAATGTGATTTTGACTTTTTAATTTTGGGGATCTTTCTCCTTTATCCTTATAAAAAAGAAATTATAAAACTGTATTTTTTGGAAGGGGGAATATCTGAAGTTTTGCCTACGGTACAGCAAGTTCTTACAATCTATAGGCTCAGGTCCTTCCTGAGTTCAAAAACCTTCTTAAAACTTTCTGTTCCCGTGGTAGTTATGTATTATTTATAAGTTAGAACCTAATACTCCTTATACCAATCATCTTTTTCTTTAAACATTTGTACTACTTTATCAACTCAGTATTCTGGGAAAATTTCTTAAGCTTGTTCACAAGTCTTTACTTAATTGAGTTTTCTTAATTTGAGTAGTATTTCCCAACTTTACTGACTTTGTTACAAACTTTAATTTTGCAATTGCAGTTTTAATTTCCATGCTATATGTCACTTTCTCTGCAGCTCCCCTTTCCTATCAGACTGCATGTCAGTTTGTTTACTTTGTGTGTTTGCCTGTTCTCTTCTCAAGACATTCTTATGCACTGAGCCCTTGTCTTTTGGATTCCATTTTGATTACTCTGTAGATGTTTTCTAAAGTTTTTTGTTTTTTTTTTTTAATTAAAAACCAAAAAAATATGAACTGCTTCATGAATTTGCATGTCACCCTTGTGGAGAGGCCACGCTAATCTTCTGTGTATTGTTCCAGTTTTAGTATATGTGCTGCCAAGGCAAACACTAAAGTTAAGTTTCTTATATTAAATCATTCAGAGGTATGTATTTCTTAGAGGCTTTTTCTTTTTTTTTTTTCTTTTTCTACTACATTTTAGAGGAAAGAATTTTCAATATATTTCTTTTGCCATATGATTAGTTTTTATACACTGACCTCCGTATTGGTTTTCTTCTGTTACCTATCCTTTATAAGGGGGAAACGCTATTCAGATTTAGGGTGTGCTAGCAGTTAAGATGTAAGGATTGCCTCTGACCACCTGTTTATAAGACCACCACTTATGACCTGTTTATGTACTAGAAGAATCCTTGTGCTGATGGTTTTGTTCATCTGATCTTTTATATTCTCCATTGCCTAAGACATAACTTCATTACATTGTTTTTTAAAAAATGAAATCATGAAGACTGGAAAAGAGAATCTGTTTTATTTTTCTTAAGAAAAAAATGTTAGGCTTAGGCCAAGCTTTACCTCTTCTTAGTTGCTTTATTAGACCCCTCCTAGGCTGAGCTACACCTCCTTTTCTTTATTCCCAAAACAAAGTCATAGCCTGTACCGCAGCTTTATCACGTGATATAATTTAATCACATGATATGAATGGTTTACTTGTTGTCTTGCCTTTTATGGTTACAAATTCCTTGTGGGGAGTGACTCCTCTTTCACCATTATCTCAGATGCTTACCACAGTTCCCAAAACTTTATAAGCTATCAGTAAATGTTTCGTGAATGATTGAGTAATCAAATTGCTATCTTTGGGAAAATATTAGAATAAACTATCTAATAAGCATGAAATACTACAAGGAAAAAGCAACTTGGTATTGTAAAGAGGAAATTATACCATATAAGTTTGATTTCATCCCGTTGTTGCAGTAAAGCAAGAGGCAATACACTAGTTTATCTTGATCTTAAAAAAACAGATGTTCCATTAAAAAAACAACAACAGATGTTCCCCTTGAATAATACTGACAAACTAGAAAAATCTTTCCTTGCTTGTAGTACTGTTAAAAAAGCAAACAACTGACTCAGTGGTGATAGCCAGGTGGCATATACTAAATACACACCATACAGCCAATAGGATTGTTCTCAGAAATTAGATCTATGACATGTTCTATTTAATATTTAATTTCTCTTCTCTGGATTAAAAACAATTGATGGCACACTCACCAAATTTTCCTGAGAATAGTATCTGCAGTTTGATTCAGTGAATTTCGCCATTTGTGTTCTTCAGAGTCAGCTTAATCTAATTCTGTACTTCACATTTTACATTCTAACATCTCGATCCACCCATGTATAGGTTTCAGTAGCAAAACCAGGGATAGGCAATGATTGTTAGTGTTTACACAGAGTACTAATCAACCCATGAGTACTTTTCCCCCAATCTCCAAGGTGAAGTGGTGTCTGTGACCCAATTTTAGGGACGTTAAAAGACAGAAAAACGTGTGCTTTGGAATCAATGAAATACGGAACTATTGTGTTCTGTAAAATAAGAATTTTAGTGTTACAGGGTATTTGATACTTATTACATGTCTGGAATTAGAATAAGTAAACTGTGGTATATCCATTTGATAGAATATATGTATCTTTCAAGAATTATGCCTCGTGAAAGAATACATGTGATTACAACTTTTTAAAGCAACTATTTTCATAGAAAATAAACAGAATTAACAGCAGAGTGGTAACAGTGGTTGTATTTTGGATGGTAGGCCTTGCTAGATTTTTTTTTTTTTTTTTTTTAAAGACGGGGTTTCACTATGTTGGTCAGGCTGGTCTTGACCTCCCAACCTCAGGTGATCCAACCGCCTTGGCCTCCAAAGTGCTTGGGTTACAGGTGTGAGCGACCACACCTGGCCCTTTTTTTTTTTTAAGCTAAAATATTTTTTAATTTCCAGATTTTATAAGTGGTGGCAGTGGGATGGTTTATAACACTTATCAGGGGATCATTTTGAAATAATTCATGCTATAATAATTTCCTTTTTTTTTTTGAAGTTTCTAGACTGTTATAAAGGTAATCTGAAATACTTCACTGAAATTTGAATGTTTCAGTGATATCCTTGGGGGAATGATGGGGAAGGATGGTTGGATGAAAGGGTCATGAACTATTAGGGATCAGCAGATGATAGGTCTCTCTGACCCATTAGTGACTCAAATTCAGGATAATAACAATGAAAATATTTAGTTGTGTTACAGTGTGTTGTGACTGCTAAACACAATTAATAAACTAACGTAAAAATAAGAATTGCTTGTGCCATGTGTCTGCAAGGGATAGAACCAGACCAGTAAACAGTGAATTTTCCAGTACTGAGAGCAGGAATGGACTGATCAGCAAGGTTCGGAATTGCCTTTCATTAGAGTTACTCAGTTATAGGTTGGGCAGTCACAAGCAAGGATTAAAACATAGAATGGGTGGCTGAACTAGATAGCATTCAGAGCTCCTTTCAACACCAATACTGTATAACTTTCAGAGACCCTAATAAGGTTTTAAAAACTATTTCACTTTGTGAAGTAGTAGCTATTCGGTAGGCAATAGGTTGCATTGTGACAAAGCAGTTCTAAGTGACTATCGGATTCATTAAAATAAGGCTGCGGTGCACAAGTCACCACAGACATGTAGGCAACATATAAACAAGTAAGACATTGTTGTTTCGTTTTTCTTTCTTTAATGAAGTTTTTATTAAAGTATATAAATAAATACCTGATCAAATAGAGGTCAGTGTAATGAGAGACATATAAACAAGAACTATGAGGATTAAAATAAAGGAATTAGATATTGAGAATATCAGGAAAATGCCAATAATATTTCATTTTTCTCAGTTGAAAAATCTGTCCAGTGCCCAGTCCTAAAATGCCACGTGTGTTAGTCCGTTTAGGGTTGTTAAAAAGGAATATCTGAGGCTGAGTACTTTATAAAGAAAAAGGTTTATTTGGTTCATGATTCTGATGTATAGGAAAGTGTAAGATTGGGACCTGCATCTGTCAAGGGCCACAGACTGCCTCCACTCATGGCAGAAAGTGAAGGGGAGCCACGTGTAGAGAGATCACATGGTGAAAGAGGAAGCAAGGAAGGTTAGAGGTGCCAGGCTCTTATTAACAACCAGCTCTCACAAGAACTAATGGGATAAGAATTCACTTACCCCACACCCAGTGAGAACATTAACCTGTTCATCAGAGATCCACTCCCATGACCCAGACACCTCTCTTTAGGCCCCCACCTGTAATATTAAATTTCAACATGAGAGTTTCTGGACACACATCAAAACTATAGCACTATGCTTTGGCATTGGAATAAATGATATAATAAGTAGGTTCTCCTCCAACATGGAACTCACCAACTACTCTTATTTTAATTTTTTAACACTAAGAAGAATTCAGGTTAGGACCAAGGAAGACTCAGAGAAGCTCATCTCGGGTTGCCAGAATGTAATCTTAAGACCTTTCTTGGGTTCCATTTGATTTAGAATTTCACATAGACTTTCTCCTTTCCACTATAATCTCAATCCTCCTCTACACTCTTAGAGGTACCAGAAGTCAACCCATCCTAAAGCATTTTATGATCTCTGTGGTGGTTTCAGATAGAGTGTATGTATTTAATTTAAACTCATCACCAGAATATACTATGAAATAGTAGTGTTTCATATTTATTTGTATTATGTATAATATTAACATATATGTTACTTATATTACATATATGGAATATGCCATATTAGAGAAAATAGATTCAAAGCAATTTAGTATGTTTTAATATAATACAATCTAGGTTGTGTATTTAATAACTGACAGACTTCTTGTTGCAATGAAAGGAAAGAGTAAAGGGAAGCTTTGTTATTTGCAAAGTAGAGACCTTTGACCTCGGCAAAAGTGGTTATGGTAATAGTGTTGAGGGTGGAAGCCAGATTAGAGTGGACGGTGAAACACTGAAGATAGCAAATACAGACAGCCCTTTTGTTAAGTTGAGCCCTGGAAGGGAAGAAAGAGAACAGTAACTGAAGGGCAGATGTCAAGTCCAAGGGGAGGTTTTTGTGCTGCTGTTGGCTTTTTTAGTGAAAGAGCTGTGAATGGCACATGCCAATGAGCAGGAGCCAGTAAAACAGGAGAGGTTGAAAACACAGTCAGGAAAAGGAATAAACATGCAGCTTTCCCGCAAAAAAAGAAGAGAGAAGGGACGATATACAAAACATAGGTGAGGGATGGCTTTAGATAGGATGAGAGGATGGGTCAGTTGCGGGAAGGTGTGATAGAGGGAAGTTCCTGAGGGAGATCTTGTCTGAAGGCAGTCTTAAGTATAAAGAAGGATACGGGCTTATCTGCTGAGAATGAAGGGGAAGGAGGAGACAAAAGTCTAAGGTCTGTAATAAGTGGAAGAGGTTTAAAATAGTCTCTGTGGAAAGTGGAAGAGCCAGAGGAAAAGGAAAACATGGTAACATTTCCATCTGAGCTAAGGAACCTGTTAAGATTGTGTATCTCTCTTCTCTGTCCCCAGAGTCTGGGAAAGAAAATTAGGGTTTGATTTTTCTCTGTAGGCGGTAATGTTTTATGAAGGTAGATTGAAGATTACAGAATAGGTGTCTTTATCTCTGGTGATGTCAGTAAGGCCTAGAATATAGGCTGCAGGCGGGGAAGAAAGGATCTATATAGAGCACTATCTTCCTTCCCTATTTCACCACCACTAGTTGAATCTACCACCCGTCAAGACTGCTGAAAACCTGGTGAAATTGTCATTCAGGACCACCCCCACAACCATGTGATCTGCAGATAAAAGATAGCTTTAATTCTTCCTTTCCAAAATGGATGCCTTTTATTTCTTTTTATGCCTGATTGTGCTGATTAGAACCTCTGGTGCAACATTGAAGTGGTAAGAACAGACATCCTTGTCTTGTTCCTGATCTTAGGAGGAAAGCTTTCAGTCATTCACCAATTAAGTATGATCTTAAATGTAGGTTTTTCTGTAGGCCAAGAAAGTTTTCTTCTTATCCTAGTTTGCTAAATTCTGATGAGAAATGGAGATTGGTTTCTTTTTTAATCCATTGAGATGATCAATCATATGCCTTTTACTTGTTGTTTGTTAAAATGGTAAATTATATTCACTGACTTTTCAAATATTAAATCAACCTTATTCCTGGGATAAACCCCACTGGGTCATGGTATATTATCCTTATTACATAATGTTGGATTAAATTTGCTACAATTTTATCTAAAATTTTTCCATCACTTTTCATGAGGAATATTGGCATATAGTATTCTTTTCTTATAGCAACTTTGTCTTGTTTTAGAATCAAAGTAATGCTGAACTCACAGAATGAGTTGAGATAACATCCCATCTATTCCATTTTCAGGAAGAGTGGGTAGAATTGGTATTATTTCTTCACTTAAGTGTCTGGTAGAATTTACAGTGGTGCCATCTGGAGTCTGAAGGTTTCTTTGTGGAGAGATAATCTGTAGTCTGATACTGGCACTTTGTGGCTTCACTCTTTTCCTGATGACTCTTGCTAGAGGTTTATCAGTTGTATTGATCTTGAAGAATCAGCTTTTGATTCCTCTCATTTTTCTGTTTACTTTTTCTTTTTTACCCTGATCTTTATTCTTTTTTCCTGCTTATTTTGGATTTAATTTTTTTTCTAGTTTCTTATGGTGGAAATACAAAGATTATTCATTTGAAATCTTTCTGTTTTTCTAGTACAGGCATTTAGTGCTATAAATTTCTCCATAAGTACTGCTTTGCTAAGGCCCTGCTGACAAGGTATTTTTTTTCTGTCAGTCACACAAAGCCTTTTCTTTCTCGTCATCTTTTTGTATGCTAAAATAAGAATTGTAATGTAAATCTCTGAAGGCATAAAGGAGAAAGTTTAAACTCACAACCCCATTTCATAGGCATTTTGCCTCTCATATTAAGTGTGCCAAGGAGGATGTAACATTTTGATTCGTGGAAGTATCTTTGACAAAGCCATCTTATCGATGACTTACTGCAGGTATGCAGGTATTTATTTGCTTTGTCTCACTCTAAAGACTCTTCCAGTTAATCCTGTCCAACTAACATTAACAATAGAAAGGAAATGTTAATAGAGGAAAACTAATTTTATCTGAATTGTTAAGTTTTCTTTGCCTCAACAGCATTTTTGCAGTTGTGAATAAAGACTGAGGTTGTATGGCAATTCGCCCTTACTATTTAAATTTGATTTTGAATATAAAACATGTTACAATAAATAATGTCTTTAAATATTCGTATTTCAACCATTGTGCAGAAACTTGCCTTAATCCTATTTTGAATAATCTTTTCTGTCCAGTATAGGCCAGTGCCAAGAATCCACAAAAATAATAGTTAACCTTTATTAAATATAATAGCCTTTATTAAACATGTATTAAACAATGTGTCAGGCACTATGTTAAACACTTTGCATGGCTTATCTCATCTAATGAAGCACTAAAATCCTGTGAAGGGTAGGTATTTCTATTCTCATTTTACAGATAAGAAAACTAAAATTTAGAAAGTACCTGGTCTCTGGTCCCACAACTAAGTGGTAGAGTTGGGGTACTGACCTGGTCTCCAGTGATTTTAGGCACATTATACACCCTCCTTCTATATCCTTCTGATTTACAGGAGGTCCTGTTGTAATGCACATATTATATATTGACTTGAGTAAACAATTCATTAGAAATTATTGCTTTGATTACTGCAGTCTTAACTTAGAAAAAGATTGTTTTATTATCTAATATTTCAGAGTAGGAAGATGCTGTCTGATAAAACTCTTGTTCCGCCAAAAAAACAATATGTTTGAAATACACATGTGGGCTGGAATTTGGAAACACTCTATAATTTAGTTTTTTTACTTAATGCTTCACTGTCACCATTGGTTGCTATGGTAGACAGTTGGTATCACCCTTCTCTCAGAATGCTTAAGAATAAGTAAATTCATATTTGAGTATACCTATTATGTACATAGATAATAGCCAACCATATTTCTATTAATATTAGCTAATATGATATCCCAGTGCTTTACATGGATCATATAGTTTAATCCTCACAACTCCATGTGCTGTAGGTACTGTCATCTCTATTTTACGGTTAAGAAAACTCATACACATAGAAAGTAAGTAACTTGCCCAAGGTGTATGGTGATGGAGCTCCTGTTATTAACTCCCATATCTTACTATAGGAAAATATAAAGAAGAAAACATGTATATTCTCAAGGAATTTGCATTCTGTTGAGAAAGAAGGCATACACAAAGTTGTAAGGTCATCATATTTAAATACTGATTCCTGTGAGTTTTACAAGAGGGAGAGCTTACCATTACCATGGAAAATTTCATAGACAAGGTAAATGTTACATTTGATTGGGGCTTGTAGAACCTATAGCATTTAAGTTAATGGGAAGGAGGAACGAAGCAAGCATAAATGACAAAGGGGAGGGGGAGTTTAGAGTATGTGTATTTGGAAGAATGGCTTATAGTGGCTGTAAAATGATAGGGCTCTGAACATCTTGATTCACGGTGTATGGCTTGATGTGTTGACCAAACTATACTAAATAAATAATAGAGTTGTTGAGAAAATAAATTTTGTTTGTTTGAGCCAGGGTCTCATTCCTATCCCCCAGGCTGGAGTGTAGTGGCACAGTCATGGCTCATTGCAGCCTCAACTTCCTGGGCTCAGGTGATCCTCCCACCTCAGCCTCCCAAGTAGCTGGACCACAGGAGCATGCCATCACACCCAGCTAATTTTTTATATTTTTAGTAGAGACGGGGTTTCGCCATGTTGCCCAGGCTGGTCTTGAACTCCTAGGCTCGAGTGATCCACCATTCTTGGCCTCCCAAAGTGCTGGGATTACAGGTGTGAGCCACCACATCCAGCTGAGAAAATAAACTCTTTAGGACATTTTGTTCCTCAGTAAAATCTGAACTCTCCTGAGAGGGAATGGGCAAATACCAGATTAGAAACAGCATGTTGGTACAGACAGAGAATGGGTTTAAATCTCTACTCTGTTACTAACTGAACCACGGTAAAAAGTTATTTGACCTCTTTCAGCTTTAGACTTCTCATATATTAGATGGAGGTTTTATCTTCTTGGGGTTGTTTGAAGATTAGAAATAATGGGTATATCAGAGTGCCAGATGTGTTACAGCTGGTCCATAAAGAAGGTAGTCATCAGTTTTAGTCCCTGTTAATCTTCAGTGAATGAAAATGACTTTTTTAGACTTAAGTTCATTTTTCTGGCCCTATACTTCCATTCATCACCAAGATTGTCATGTTCTTCTGAAAGCCCTGAATTCCTTTTTTTATAGCACTTGTATTTTGAAATTATATATTTAAGTTTGTGATTATTAACATCTGCCCCCCAACCCCAGATGATAAGCTTCATGTAGTCAGGAGTCGTGTCTGATTTTGCCAACCACTGTCTCCTACTGCCTAGCATGGTGCCTGCCACACAATTGGGCTTTACTGAATGTCGAATGAAATAAATTCTTTATACCTAGTACTGAAATTACCTTGTAATATTGATGGCTGCCTACATCAAAGTAGGAATACTTTCTTTGAAGAATTAAAATACAAGTAATATGAACTGTGTAAAATCTCAGTGCTTGAACTCACTAGTCTTTTGTTGTCACATATTGACATTATGCTGATTGAACCCCTTAGAAATGGAGAGGTTCAGTTTCATTACATTTATCATTATCGTGTATTGTTTTCAGTTTGACTACTCTTGACTTGAAGTTCCGTCATACTGTATGTTAACTCCTGTGCAAAATTTCAAGCTTTTGGTTATTTCATTTTTCAAGAAATGTTAATTGTTTCATGAAACTCCTCTGGCTTTAAGAAAGTAAAAATATCAGGTGCCGCATTTCGCTTCTTAAGACTTCCATTCACATAAATGTTGTTTTCATTTGCTTTTCTTACAAGGGAGAAGATGTCAACCGGACACTAGAAGGTGGAAGGAAGCCTCTTCATTACGCAGCAGACTGTGGGCAGCTTGAAATTCTGGAATTTCTGCTGCTGAAAGGAGCAGATATTAATGTACGTAGACGACATCACTCTTGAAAAAATTCCTGTTAATATGCTATGGGTAATTGTTTTCTATAGATTATAAAATAGTTATTTGTAGAAACTTCATTCTAAATAAGAATACAGTCTGAAATTATGCCAAATTGCCTATAACTTAGAAATACACATGCAGGATTTTTAAAAATAAGCCAAAAAAACCCTGATTTTTTTAAGCTAACAAAAATTGAAGGCTAGGATGTTCCCCCCCCCCATCCCCCCATGGCTCTTGCTCTTCAAGTTCTAAAGCTTGGGGAGTTAGCACTATCTGTGAGTAACAAATAGCTATGATGTAATAGAGCATAAGACTCTGCAGTCATAGGCTAAATGTAAACTGGATTATTGGGCAAAGGTCAACAGGCAAGTGGTCAGATAAGCGCAGTCATCTCCCAACTTTAGCCTTTTGTAGCTTCTGCATTTCAAGGGATACCATGTTACCCAGCCCTTCTACCTCCTTATTGGCTGTGTCTTAACCCCATCTTCCCTTACTGGACCACACTGGCATTTCTACAGTTGTGGGGAATCAGGCTCAGAGAGGCTAAATAATAGTCCTATAGTAAGTGGCAGAGCCAAGATTTGAGCTGAGGTCAAAGCCCTACTCCCTGTGCTCTGCTATTCGGACTCCTAAGGAAAGACAGTGCTCCTGGGCTTGGGTCTCTGGTAGCTCTCTAAGAGACTAGACACTTCACTCTGTGGACTGATTTTTTTTATTTTTAATTTGTAGAAAGGCAAATAGGTATATCTTGTAAGAGTTTCCTGGTTAAATCTAGAAAGAAGGAAGAAATGAAAATGGTTACCTCTGTTTATTATTTCACAGGCTCCAGATAAACATCATATTACTCCTCTGCTGTCTGCTGTCTATGAGGGTCATGTTTCTTGTGTGAAATTGCTTCTGTCAAAGGTGAGGTCAATTACTAATTGTATTGCTTTTTCTATCACTGTGTTTAAGCCAAGTATTGTTAATTGATTTGAATTTTGTGTGGCAGCAGGGACAGAAAACTGGAAGCAATATACAAAGCCGAGGTCTAGTGTTATTCAAAATAGCTGGCCTGTAAACAGTGACCAGTTTCTGATAGGTAAGGAGCTTGGGTGAATATAAATCAACAGTCTCCTTTGTCAAGAAAATTTTTACCAAAAAAAAAAGTCAGCTTGAAATAAACATTGTACATTGTACTTGATGTAGAAGAATGTCATTTTGGACAGTAATACTTTGTGGATTGGCACCAGGTTCATAGACCTCCCTTTGAGTAACACTGCTTTGATATATATTAGTGTTATTTTCTAGAGGACATACTGAGCAAAATGGTTAGAGGTAGTTTGCTGTAAGTAAGGGCTCTCCAAGTTACCTGGTTTTTTGATATGCTTGTGATAGTGATAAATTTGGAGTTTTCCTACCTTTTTTGTCTTTGCTATTATAAGCCCTTCGATAGAGTTCAAAATCCAGACTCAGAAATTAACCATTTAGTTGCAGCCGTTCTAGCTGTATTAGATGGATCCTACAGATGTTGGAAAGCAAGAAATCTTTACAAAATATTACCAGTTACAATACTATCACTAGTATTTCAGCTTTGTCATTTTGTGATCATACTCAGGAAAGTGTTCTTTATAATATTTCATTTGGGATCTTAAAATAAGCCCTGCTAAAAGAAGCAAGAGAAAAACAGAAATTAAATGAGTAGATGTATACAAAGCATTTTGCCACACATAGTAAGCACTCAGTAAGTAGTAGCTTTTATTATAAATAAGGTTGAAGAGGATTTTATGTTTTGTAGTGTCACCTTCAATAAGATACAAAGAAAATTGGGAAAGAAGATAGCACATTTATCTCTTAACACTTTATTGACAACTTTGTAAAGAGGTTCTAAAAGCAGTTAATTTGTATCCTCTAAATAGAACTAGAGTTTCTTCTACCCATAGCTTCATGTTAACCACAATTGCTAGATTTCTTTAAATACGTGTTTTGTTGTTATTTGGGTTTGGGTTTGGTTATATATTAGGAGCAATTTTCCTACCATACTGATATGAATGATGCATTTCTCCAAAAGCCAAAATAAAGCAAACACTAGTGGATCCAGCATCTGTGATAGGGTGCGCTCACAAAGATTTCCAGTCACTGTCTTTCTCTTTATTGTTCATTCCTCCCCCTACATCCATGAAAGGATTACAATGTACCTTTGAAAACTGCTAGATAATTTCCTCCCTGGGAAATATTTTTGCTTACTGTATCAAAAACAGATTTGCTGTTTATGAAAGATTTATATAATTTCAATACTATACTAGTAAGGACTCTGTCTTGCAAGTAACTCAGACAGGCTTAAATAGTAAAGAGATCTTATTAATTTATATAACTGTACAGTTGAGGCGCAGCTTGACCCTGGATTTAAGATGCATGACTATGATCTGATTTTTTTATTTTTATTTTTGGCCTGCCTCAGGTCTCTTGCTCAGCATTGGCTTTATTTCTATGGCGTCAGCCTGTCTGCTAGGTCGCAAAAGAAATGGAGGACTCCTTCCTTACCCTTGTTTCCCTCTCTTTTCTTACCCAGCCAAGAGTTTTGTTCTCTGAAAATAAAAACCTCCATAGGAGCCTTCTTTGCCTAGGTTTCTGGCCATTTACTAAATTACCTGCCCTAAATGTACTTTTTCCTTTTAGCCATATCTCAAACTGTAAATCAGAACAATTTGTCTTTGTGTTAGACCTCTCTGTCCTCCTAGGAAAAACAAAATAAGATGTAATTTTTATGCTAGAGAGAACCCAAACCTTTGTTCTGTATTCCTTATTCCCAAAACATGATGCTTTAGGTCATTGAGACCTTGTGGTTGTAAGTTTCCATTGTTAAAGAGTTGAAAACATTAAATAAGTTCTTGAAAAGTTAGCTTGATTTGCATGCACATTAGGCCCTAAGATGTTATCCCAGAAAGTTCCCTATAAACATGTACTGTTGCTAAATTATTGATTGTGAGATTTCTTACTTTTAACTAGTTTTTTCTTTTACTTATGCTTTTACTTTTTCTTTTACTTATTTTGTTCTTTTACTTGTGTCTGAACCTTGACTTTTTTAGCCAAATAAGTGACGTTCGGAGATAGCTATGTTGGTAGCAGACCATTTTTAACCATGTAGAGCTTTTGTTTTATATCAAAGAGATTTTCTTCTTTCCTTTTTAAAATCAGCATAGTACCTTTTACTTCTGCTTTTTCAAAATTAATTACTTTGATTTTATTATGGCATAAGCTGCTTTAATGGATACCCTGTAGTTTTGTTAGGCAGATTGTTTTTGAAAATTGATTATACTCTTTCAAAAATTCTTAGTTGCTAAAATAGGGCTATTCCAGTGCATCTTTTGAAAGTTATAATCAGTGTTTATATTAAGTCTAATTTGTTCTGCCTTTTATCAAAAAATAGAATCCTTATGGATTATTATAAATTCACTTGAAAATACTTGGTTTAAGAACTTTCCAGATTCATTGACATTTCTAATACATTATCCAGTTGATTTATCCTCAGCATAGGAAAAATGGCAAAATAATAAGCAGGGATTTAGAAACTCAATATGAATACAACTAATGGAGGGAATCACAAAAAGATGTTTGCTAGAATATTTGAAATAAAACTTTATATGAATGCTGTATCATTTGTAATTTATTATAAACCCAAATACTTAGGAATTATTATCTCTCTTTTATGTATAAGGAAACCATTTATATCAGGGAGGTATAACTGCTTGAAAGTCAAATAGAATGTAATGGAATCAAGGTTTGTTCCAAGATGTAGAATTCAGCAGCCTGTGTTCTTACTATTACTTGAAATTGGTTTTCAGAATTACTGTCAGGACAATTAATGAGAAATGGAACATGTACATATCTGCAGGTAAAAAGACTTGTGGCCTCATTTTTAAATGGCAGGTTGGTAAATGAGAAGATGTAGAGATCAACAGATGTGAGGCTTCCATTTCAAGGTTTAGGTCTGAGCACATTCTGTGGTATTCCCTTTTTGCCCCCAATGACAGAAAAGATGTTTTTAAAGTGAGTGGACCAGTATCTGCTTTGGACCAGAACAACTGGATCCATTTAACAAGAAATTGTGAGAAATATTTGAAAGACAGAAAACAGGCAGGATAAGGCCAAAGAAGAAATTCCCAAATATGAGCAAGAGAGTATTGTTGCAGAAGGGTAAGATCTGATCCAAGGCCACGCCCGTAGGTGCCCAGTACCCCCAAGCAGCAGATGGAGTGATAACTTGAATGCACTTCAGGAAGAAGCATACCCAAAAGGAAAGACTGAGATGCAAGAAGGGGAATGAGTGAGAAGTTAGTATGAATTAGTATGTGAATACCTTTAAGCAAATATTAAACACTAAAGCTTTTAAAAATAAGGTAGAATCAAGTAATTGGTAAATAATAGGAGATGATCAAAGCTTCTGGTACTTTCACTAAATCCAGAGTACCTGAGAAACATGGTAAAACTAGCAAGAATAAACAAGGGAAAGGAGGCAGATAATGCAGGCTCAAGGAGCATCCTGGAAGAGGCCGCAGCAGTGGAGGAGTGAGAGTGTGAAGAAGCTGATGTGAGTGTTTGAAACAGACACCCATGATAGCAGAGTGGCAGCTGACCAGCACAGCAGTCTATATAGAGGCCAAGCGCAATACCTGTTTTTATCAAAGCAAGAATAGGCAGCCTGTATAGTCATGTGTCATTTAGAATTGTAATTATCTCAGTGAAATAAGGTTCCCTTTATTTACCCTAAAAAATCTTAACCAGAAAATTTTTAGAATAAAAAGGATACTGAAAAGGTGGTATTAAAAAGTCCTCCAGTTTGAAAGCTGGCAAACTTTTTCTTAAAGGGTATGCCTTTAAGAAAGGCAGACCACGTGGTCACTGAGGTAACTTTGCCATTGTAGTTCTAAAGCGGCCATAGACAATACATAAACGGATGGGCATGGCTGCATCCCAGTAGAACTTTATATACAAAAACAAACATCCAGGCCATATTTTGCCATCCTTGCTCTAGCTGATAAACAGTTTGGAATTTGTAAGATACATTGTTTTAAAACCCTAACCCTCCGTGGTAAGATGATGCTTCCTAAGTGCTACAAGGTGAGTGTGTATCCTTCTGGATGCTTTTATTAGACTGTGCTAGCACTTACTTTTGATGCAGGTTTGTAGCCTAGGAGCAATAGACTATAACATATATCGTACATGTGTAGTAGACTGTACCATCTAGGCTTGTATAAGTACACCCTATGATGTTCACACAATGATGAAATCCCCTCATTAAGCGACACGTAGCCATATGTATTAGGGTTCATTACTGTCTGTGGTTTCAAGCCATCCATTGGAGGTCTTGGAATATGTCTCCTACAGATAAAGGGAGACTATAATATTTTTCAGTTACATATCATTTGACATCTTTATCTAGTTTTGTGCTTTAAGAAGACAGTTCTGTAAGAGAAATAATAATAGTTTGCCTGTAGCATTAATACACTGTCATGTTGCACATTTTTTTAATTTTTTATTTTTTTGAGACAGAATCTCCCTCCATCCCCCAGGCTGATGTACAGTGATGCGATCTCAGCTCACTGCAACCCCCACCTCCCAGTTTCAGGCGATTCTTCTCAGCCTTTCAAGTAGTTGGGATTACCACACCCAGCTAATTTTTGTTTTTAGTAGAGACGAGATTTTGCCATGTTGGCCAGGCTGGTCTTGAACTCCTGACCTCAGGTGATCTGCCCACCTCAGCCTCCCAAAGTGCTGGGATTACAGGCGTGAGCCACTGCAACCAGCCTCATGTTGTGTTGTACATGTCTAATATTAATATAATACATATATTTATGATTACATTTTCTATAAACTCATTAAAATTCCATGTAATTTATGTAATTTCTTATAATTTTAATAAAGAA